TTTTAGTAATAAATATTAGATACTGCTTGCTATAAAATAATTTTTTATTTTAAATATTCTTAAAAAATTTTTATTTAAATATTTTAAAATTTAAAAAAATAAATAGATGCAAATTTATAGCAATTTTGCTTAGAAAAGCCACAAGAAATTTATTTATATATTTATTTAAAAATTTATTTAAACCTAGTAAATATACTAATTAATTTTTTTTACCTGTGTAAAGTTTTAAATTATTTTAAATTAAAAATTTAAAAGCAAATTAAATAATTAATAAAATTTATAAAATTTATTTATTTACTTACATTATGCTTTTTCAAATTTTCTTTGACAAATGAAAATTTATTATTGAAGCTATATGAAGAGGCAATAGCCCAAGAAGCCGTATACTATATAATATGGTTATAATAATATATATTTCAAATCCTATTGAAACTAAGGTTAAAAAATAAAGTAATATTATATGTTTTTTTGATTCTTTTAGAACCTAAATAAAAAATGAAAATAAGTATATATTTGAAATATTTTGCAAATTTATTAGCATTACTAAATTAAATATTTACTCCTCTGATCATTGTAAAAGCTATAATTGGTGGTAATGCAAAATACCATGGAAAATTTATAAAAGAAAACGTAAATAAATCGATCGTACTACTATTATTCTTTATAGCATTATTATAATTTATGCTCCATATTTCTACATGACTTATAAATACCATTATTTGCGCATGGGCAAAAACCTTTTGCATTTTATAATCACCATAATGTTCTATATAAAGTTAATTTATAAATTGATATTAAAAATTTGCAATATAGGTATTAAAAAGAATATTGAATACAAATGACTTACTTTCTATATCTTCATTTGTTAAATTTATATCTTCTTGATTAAACAGCTTATTATGAAATCTAAATAATTTAAAAACTTGTTACTCTCTGTATATTGAATTTATTATAATGCCTTATAAATAATTACCCAATATAATATATAATAAACAAAATTACATTATATATCATATAAATTATAAATTTCAAATTATCTTGAAGAATGGGTGACATAGACATAGATTGCACACAAATTATATACATGTGCCAGGTTGATTTATATTGAAACTGTAAAGTACAATTATGTAAATATGATAACTTATTTAAGATATAAGTTTTTTAAAAAAAGTATAGTTAAATAACTTACCACAATAAATGACGATAATAACAGACAAATAAAAAATATATATTTCTGATACAAGAAAAGTGGTCCTAAATTTTAACTCGTCTAAGGTAAGACTTTGAAAAGTTACTATGTATATTAAAATATTAACAAAGATGTTTACTAATAATAATATGATAAGGCAAACTTGACGAGGATTTGTTTTAAGTAATTGGAAACATTGTTGTAATCGTGTATATAGAAACCTTTGCTATGACATTATGATAGAGCTTTATTAGAATGATAGTCTAATGGTAGCAAACACACGGTAGTGCAGAAAAGGTATATTTATACTTATTTGCACGAGTAATACAAATTCAACCCGAAAATTTAATATATATAAAAATAAACTATATATGCATATCGATATAAAGATAGAAATTCAGGACTAGAATATTATTAGCGTTAGATGCTATAGAAATAAATTATTGTTATATGTATATTTTATTCCCAT